TCCACAGCGGGATAGTATTTGTATTTACAAGTACTACTCTGCTGCAGAGTTAATTAGTTTACTAAAGCTTAATGACCCAGCACATGTAAACACAAGACATTTACTATGAGCTAATTCATTAGGGGGACGCAGCAAGGGATCAGAGATGTTCTGTTCACTAGGGCACCTCTTGGGGTAACAAGGAACAATGGTCACAAACTGACAGAGAGCAGATTTAGGCTAGATATCAGTAAAAATTTCCTCATGGTAAGGGTGTCCAAAATTTGGAATGAGCTTCCAAGAGAGGTGGCACTCTCCCCTACCTTGGGGGGTCTTTAAGAGAAGGCTGGATAGGCATCTGGCTGGGGTCATCTGACCCCAGCAGTCTCTCCTGCCTAAGAAAGGGGTCGGACTCGATGATCTGTTGAGGTCCCTTCCAACCCTAGCATCTATGAATCTATGAATTAGTCTACTCTTCAGTAAGCGTCTTGTGTAGACATGCCCACTGACTATCAAATGATCCAGAATCTCTACTCGGCTACTGAGTGAAAGAACCACTGTGGACTGATGAACTAGGCTGAAATTCAGGAAAGGGTCTATATTCAGAAAAAACATTAAGGCATTCACTTAAGTGCTTTCCTGAATAGGGATGGATTAGAGCATGCATTTAAGAACTCTCCCAAAAAAAGAGTGTGCTATGAATAACTTCTCAGAAGATGCATGAAAGCACCAGGGAGACAGTACCAAAAAGACAGATAACAGAACCTCCCTAATCTGGAATGATAGGTTGAGGGGTTAAGAGCCTTGGCACAGGTTACCTTAAAACTGACATAAAGGCACTTAAAATGAGAGCAGTCATTAGTTAATGGGTGTTAAACTGCCCTAAGTACCCTCTAAATGTTCTAAAGATAAGCCACTCAAAAGGAGAAGTATCTACCAAACATTTTGCCCATGCTGTTCCAGGTTATTGTTTTGTACTGTTTGAATGGTCAAGAGAGTCAAAACACTTATCTTCCATTCCTCCAACAGCCCAGGATGCACAGATCCCAGGCGCTCTACCCCTCCCTACCCTCCAAAACTCTAGTGTTTCCCACTCCCCACCCTGCAGAAAGCAACTGCTCTGAACTTAACTGCAGAAAGACCATGGAGCCAGGGAAGCTTGCTTCCCTAGCTACATGTTCTCACTGTCGGAAGCTCAAATTCAGCAAGACCAGAGAGCTCCAGGGAAGCCCCTGCTGCTCTGCGCTGAAACCCTGGGGGCCCTACTCTCAGCATGGAGCACCTGCAACAGTCTCAGCCAGAGGCTGCTCTGGAGACGCTGCTTCTCCAGAGCTCTGTGCTCTTGCCAGTCCTCTAGTGGCAAATCACAGTAATGTAGGTCTGAAATTACATGAAATGTCATGCCCTAAATTTATGACTTTACAGCAGTCCACAGATATTTGGTATTATGCAGGCAACCTGTGCCAAGGCCCTAAGGGACTACAAACTTCATGCATTAGCACTTGCTGGAGAGAAGGAGAGAGGGGGGAAGCACCAAAGCCACAAACTATATATGCTGTTCTAAACCCTGTTCAGGCTACTGCAAGTGGCCTGGAGAGGGGCCAGGAGTTGCTGTGGTACTTCTGCCTCAGGTTATAGGGAGCATGTTGCTACCTACAGCGGCCCAGCAACACAGTCACATTGCAGTGTGTATCAGTAATTGCATTCCTAAAACTCTACAGTCACAATGTACTTCCATTTTGCCCAAAGGACACATTAAGAGAGGTGGAAGTAACCAGTGGAATTCAACACCAATTTGCCTTTATTCAGACACACATTGATCCTGAAAGGCGTATTCTTCTCCTCAAAGTTACTGACATGCACTGAGTTAGACAAATTTATTGTAGCTTTTTTCCACTTTAAGTCTCCAAAAAAGATTGGAAATCCAGTGGCAGATGGACAATTGACATCAGTCACACTGTAGAAAGTGCATTTACTAAAGAACATGCTTTTAACATCACAGTCTAAGAGGAGAGTAAAACACGTGAAAACATGGCTTCCAAGGCCTTCTGAAAAATTGATATGGCACAATAAGCGCCAGTAAGTTACTTAACATTTTTGAAGTTTAAACAGATGTGCAATATCTTATGTAATGTAGTTAAGCCTCAAAACATGCTGATTTATTAATAATCTTTAATGAGCATCTAATAATTGAATTTGGAGTTGAAGAGAGGTTACCCATTGGGACAGCAGCAGTGAACTTCTGCAGGCAGAACAGTGAGCTGCTGTCTAACTAAAACCACCCTGAAAACCTATTAAAGAGAGGTGCAAAGTAGGCAATGCACAAACCTAATGCAATGAGGAACTGCTGTTGCTATCCTCGTTAACCTCTACCACAGCAGTAATATTGTATGGAAGTGCCAAGAAACACACAGACAAAATGTCTCCACTGAAAGGAAACATTTAGCTAGTAGAGATCTCTACGGACATTCACTAACACCTTGCGTTCATGGTGCTTTTATTATTGCTGTTAGGCATGATGACAGATGGGTGCACTCACACTGGTCTCATTACATTTCTATTCATTTAAAGGGCAAATTATGCTTTCAGACACTCATGGCACCCAGTTAAATCCAGGAAGGAAGGTACTCTCTCATCCAAAAGGAGATATGAATTGCTCTTTGTAATTTAAGTATTAAAATAAATAACAGCAAGAACTAATATTAAAACCCTTAGATTGTATGCAGCTCTTTTCATCTTTATATCTCAAAGCAATGCAGCTTAATATTTGTAACACTATGTAAATAACCATTACCCTATTTTACAGATGGGGAATGGGAATCAGAAAAAAACCCCAAAGGTACTTGTCCCAGGTCACCCAGCAAACTAGTGCCATCAGTAGTAACTAGGACAGCTTGTCTGTCGTTAGCAACAGCAGTTCAGCACATACCTCCACCATTCTTTGGCATCTCTGCCCAGGGCACAAAACCAGCTGGTTACACCTCAGAGTGCCAAAGCCAAGAAGAGATTCCAAGTCTCTCAAGCTGTAGTCCAATGCAGCCAGTGAACCTTACTCCCTTTTTAGTAAGGTTGTCTTTAGCCACAACAAATAAGCTTTACAAAAGAATAAAGGTATTTTCTGTCTTGCTGATGCCAGCTCACAAAATTTTAGTAATTTTGCTTTGTTTTGCTTTGCTTTTAAGTGAGTGCCAGCAGGGAAACTCAACCTTTTGCAGTACACAAAGGAGAACACCGTTCCTGCGCCACAGGCTGACAGTCTAAGACTGAGAGATACCCACAGTGTGCAGCATACCAGCCGAGCTGCTGGTGGTTTGCTCTCAAAATCTTGTATTTTCAGTTGTTTTTGCTTGGCACGTCATCTTTGAAAGGCTGAAGTAAGGGAGAAGAACCAAATGAGAAGCTGGTGCAGAAGAAAAGAGAGACCATTCCAAATGTTGGGGGAGGCAACAAGAAAAAAAAAAACTTAAGACCTTTATAGGAGGATACGCATTCTGTATATAATGGGTATCTATTAGGTCACCTACATCCCTAGTCATAACACCATTATATGCAGTAATACCAAATAATCACAAGGGTTTCTACACACATAGTGGCCACAATTCACTTAAACTCATTTGAATGTAGCGTTACTATGGCATTACCATGACAATGCAATGCCAAGGCATTGGTATTATTGTAAGCAATAAATATTCCATTCACACACACACACACACACACACTCATGCATGCACACGCACATACATATACCTGCCCTGAAAATAGAAGGGCAGTAAGAAAGAAAAAACATTACTTAACAAATATGACAGTAAGAAATGCTAGGATGTACTTTGAAGCACACTGCATCAGCTGATCCCAGTGCAGTAATGTTTGGATCACGTGCCCTTAGCTGCTTGCTTTTTAAAAAAAATCAACTTTTAGATGTTTTTCATACAACACTGTGTGTTGGTTTGCAAAATCTAAAGCCATAACGTGCTATCTAATTGCTTTAAAATGTTATTTGTGGGTACTGTTTTCTAATAGGCTTCTTTGATAAGAGCAAATCTTGAAACACAATACCCTTAGTAACTATGGAGTCACTGCTGATACCTCCAAGTATATGTGAAAATAGAGCTATACAAATGCATACACACACAAACACATCTATGTTTATATATTCAAGGCCAGACTCCATTGCATCTACTGGGCATCTAAATCAACTTAGGCACCTAAATGCAATACTGTTTCACCCTGTTCAAGTCCTAAAGATCTATTAATGCATCTACTTTTTAACTCATCATGTGATCCTTAAGACAGAGTCACAAAAAAGCAGCAAGGAGGAGGAGCACCCACTCACTTTTTGCATTAACTGGTTTTCAGGGACTCAAGCAGGATGGAATAGGATCGTACTTCAGCATGTAAGTGGACTAAGACACCTAATGGATGAAACAGAATCTGGCCTTCAGAGGATTTCGTAGGATGATGTTTCTTTTTAGGATGAATGAAGCGACATGGAAATCAGCTTTACCCACACTGGACAGTGATTGTAGCATAATAAAAATGTGGTGGCTTTTACTACCACATAATTAGATTTGATCCGACTTTGAAGGAACACATATCCCTTCTGTAAATAATTTAATATGCATAAAAGCAGAGTCTGTATTTCTATTAAAAAAAGAAACTTCAGATACTTAGCCTTTATGTTCTCAGGCATTCTTTACGTGCATGTGCTAATGTTGAATACCCATCACCACTCACATACCATCTGGAATTATATCCGTGTATGTTTCACTCAGAGCCTTCCCTTACTCTGACTCCTTGTGCTGTATCCCCTTGGGTTCACACAACTAGTCCAGTGAAGATATGGTTAGAGCAATGTGCCATGGCAAAAGCAGCCTTCAGAGCCCATAACTGAAGCATTTTCAGTAGGGCCTGATACGTTATTGGTGGGTTAGAAAAAGCATGATGATACGATGGCAGCGGAGTTAGTTTTGGCGTGGATTACTTTGAAAGGGAAGGCTATAGCCAACTGGCCTCTGCATTACCATTATCAGGGTTGGTAAACATCCTACTTGCACTGGAGACGGTCTTCCCAATGTCAGCCAGAGAGCGCAGGTTGGATTTCTTAGTCTGGTGCCGATGCTTCCTGAGCAGCGTGTAGGTAACCTTGTCCTTCATATCCAGTTTCAAAAGTCCCGTCTCAATCTGATTATCAACAATCATCTCTGTTACAAAGAAACAAGAAAGGGTCGAGGAGGAAGAAAAACAAATCACAAAAAGCAAAATTGTTTGAATGTTTCTTTTAGACTAAATATCTTGCATTTTTTCTGAGGTTTTATTCATTTTTGTTTTTGAAATGTAGCTTTGGTTTTTATATACCATGGAATAGATGCAAACACATGGAACAGTTCTCACAAAACAACTGATGCACAGTGAGTTCCCTTTCTTCCCCTTTTAACTTGGTATAATTTGTAAGTCTGTCCATATCCATAGCGACAGTTACTGAGAATCTTTATTCTACATTACTGTATTGCTCATGAAATGAAGAGGACAACTCTTACTTGTCTCTCACTAACTTTCACTTATGCTAATGATAAAAAAAAAATTAAGGGAAACTGAAAGCAGAATGTGTATCACTTTTGCTAACGCAATGAGCCAGGAAGTCAGCTCCTATAAACTAGGGCTGTGCAAAGCTTCAGCAGCTGATTTGATTCAGAGGAGATACGGCCTGATACAGCGACCAAATCTCCAAATCCGAATCAAATTGGGAGACCTGTTAAAAGGTCTGAATCAATTTTGAAGCCTCCGAATTGATTCAGAAAATATTTGGAGATTCGGAAGACAGACATGCAAGACACAGAAACTGGGGGGTGGGGAAGGGAGAGAGATGCTCTGATATTGACATCTGTAGCTGGCCAGTGACTGTGATCTTTTCCTGAGTTACCTTGCAATCACACTGCTCTGGGGGAGGGACACAGAAACAGCATATAAGGCTGTCTGAAGTGATCAGTGCCTTTTGTGAGCTCTCTCTGTTGTGAGCTTGCTATCTAGTCTCTTGGTAGCTAAGAGTAGCTAACTAGTCTCTCTCTTATTCTGTGTTTTCCCTGACAGTGTGTCGTCACTGTGCACTTCAGAAAAACACAGCATATATTACAGATACATACACATTTTGTAGCACACCAAGCATTATGAAGCATGCTGGAAAGGCAGGTGCCAGGTCTTCTGGCTGGGGAGGAAGAGGGGGCAGAGAGAGAGCTGCAAGATCCTCCCCACACCCCTCCCCGGCCAAACATAGACACACCCTCTTTCCACACCCCTTAAAGTTCCCCTAGAGGCAGGTCTCTTCTGGAAGGCACTTTGGAGGAGGTTGTGGGGGCAGGTGGCTCAGCTCCTCCTTTTGTTGTGCCTCTGCCTGCTGAGGAGGAAGAAAATGCAGGATCCCCATCCACAACTGAGAAGCAAGTGGGTAGTGTAGTGTAGGATCATTCTGAGGTAGCAGATGATCCCAGGTATGCTACCTGCCATCACTGCCGAAAGCAGATCAGCCGGGGCAAGGACAAGAAACTTTTCACCACCGCAGAGATGCTGCTGCATCTCAGGAAGCAGCATCTCTTGCCCTTGTTCCTCCTCAGCCTGGCACCAGTGGGAGCATGCCCAAAAAGAAGCCCCACTCTCGCTCCAAATCCCCTATCCTCCAAAGCAGAGGCAGGCCACCCTGGACCAGTGGGGGATAGGCAAGGACAAAGGGGGGCGCATTCCCAAGGCGAGCAAAGTCACCCAGAGCACTGGGGAGATGCTTGCTGTGGACAGCCAGCCCTTCTCCTTTGTTGAGTTTCCAGGGTTCAGGTGGCTCATGGCACTCATGGCCCCATCCTACCAAGTGCCCACACACACCACCTTTAGCATCCCAGCTTGGCATCACGTGTAACATGAAACCATTGCTTCTTGTTCTGTGATCTGCCACCACTCAGAACAGTCTAGCTCTGTCCCCTTTGGAACCACCCTTCAGGCAGTTGAAGACTGCTATTAAATCCCACCTCAGTCTTGTCTTCTCCAAACCAAATAAACCCAATTCCCTCAGCCTTGCCTCAGAAGTCACATGACCAAGTCCCCTAGCCATTTTCATTGTTCTCCACTGGACTCTTTCCAATTTGTCCACAACCATTCTGTAGTGGGGGCCCAAAACTGGACACAATACTCCAGATGTGGCCTCACTAGTGTGAAATACAGGGGAACAGTCACTTCCCTTGATCTCCTGACAACGTTCCTACTAATGCAACCCAGTATGCTGTTAGCCTTCTTTGCAACAAGGGCATACTGTTGGCTCATATTGAGTTTATTGTCCACTATACCCCCCAGGTCTTTTTCTGCAGAGCTGCTGCTTAGACAGTCAGTCTCCAGTCTGTACTGGTACACTGGATTGTTCCATCCTAAGTGCAGGACTTTACTTGTCCTTATTGAACATCAGGAGATTGCTTTTGGCCCAGTCTTCCAATCTGTCGAGATCTGAATCCTAGCCCCACCCTCCAGTGTATCTACTACTCCCCCAGCTTGGCATCACCTGCAAACTTGCTGAGGGTGCACTCCATCCCATTTTCCAGATCACTGTTGAAAATACTGAACAAACCCAGCCCCAGGACCAACCCCTGGGGCACTCCACTTCATACTGACTGCCAACTAGACATTGAGCCATTGACTACTATACTCTGAGCCCAAAGATCCAGCCCATTTTCTATCCACCTTACACTCCATTCACCCAACCTGTACTTCCTTAGCTTCATTGCCAGAATGCTGTGGAAGACCATATCAAAAGCCTTGCTAAAGTCAACATATATTACATTCGCTGGTCCCCTCACATCCACAAAGCCAGTCATCTCATCACAGAAGGTAATCAGGTTAGGCAGGCATGACTTGCTCTTGGTGAATCCATGCAGATTGTTCCTAATCACCTTCTCTTCCAAGTGCTTAGAAATGGATTCCTTGAGGACATGCTCCACGATTTTTCCAGGGACTGGGGTAAGGCTGACTAGCCTGTAGTTCCTCCTTCCCTTTCTTAAAGATAGGCACTGTATTTGCCTTTTTCCAATTGTCCAGGACCTCTCCCAGTTGCCATGAGTTTTCAAAGATAATGGCCAGAGGTTCTGCAATCACATTGGCCACCTCCTTCAGCACCCTTGGGCGCACCCCATCTGGCCCCATGGACTTGTACATATCCAGCTTTACTAAATAGTTTTTGGGTAGAGTGCAAAAAACACTTGCAACTTTGACTTGTAGAGTGTTGGTGTGCCAGGGCAGATGGCAGGGGAGCAATGAGGGGTCCAATCCTTGTTGTGGCAATGCGGCTGTGGCCCCTTTCCACTGTCCACCCACCACCGGCAATGAGCTGGGTCAGGGCTCCATGGACCCTGATGCAGCTGCTTACAGCCTCCCAGCTGCCTACCACAGCTAGCCTGGGTTCTAGGTGGGCCCTAGCCACCCACCATGGAGCAGATGGTAGGGAAGCTGCAAGCAGCTGCACTGGGGTCCACAAACCCCCAGCCCAGCTTGTTGCTAGCAACAGGTGCACACATGCCTCGAGGCAGATGGTGGAGAAGGGGCTAGGACTGCACTGCCACAACAAGGATTGGGCCTCTCATAGCTCCCCCACAGTCTGCCCCAAGGCATGGGTGCCAAGCCAAATGCCTTCGCATTCCACACTATGGCACGTATGCTGGGGGTTATCTATCTCGGGCCTAACCTGTTCTTTTGCCACTGTTGGCTGCTCACCTTCTCCCAAACTGTGCTGCCTGGTGCAGCAGACTGGGAGCTAAACTTGCCTGTGAAGACTAAGGTGAAAAAGGCATTACGTGCTTCAGCTTTTTCAGCATCATCTGTCACTGAGTTACCTCTCACATTTAGTAAAGGACCCATACTTTCTCTGATCCTCCTCTTGTTGCTGACATACTAGTAGGAACCCATTCTCATTACCCTTCATGTCCCTTGCTAGTTGCAGCTCCAATTGTGCTTTGGACTTCATGCCCTTCCTGACTGACAGAATAAAGAGCAATGGTCTCAAGTTACAGCAAGGGAGGTTTAGGTTGGATATTAGAAAAAACTCTCTCATTAGGAGGGTGGTGAAATACTGGAACAAGTTACCTAGAGAGGTGGTGGAATCTCCATCGTTGCAGTTTTCTAAGACCTGGATAGACAAAGCTTTGGCTGGAATTATCTAGTTGGGGATGGCCTTGCTTTGAGCAGGGGTTGGACTAGATAACCTCCTGAGGTCCCTTCCAATCCTAATGTTCTATGATTTATCCCTGCATGCCTGAGCAATACTTTTATACTCCTCCCTAGTTGTTTGTCCAAGTTTACACTTCCAATAAACTTCCTTTTTGTGTTTCAGCTTACTGAAGAGTTTCCTGATAAGCCAAGCTGGTCTCCTGCCATACTTGCTAGCCTTACTGGACATCGGGCTGGTTTGTTCCTACACCCTCAGTGACATTTCTTTAAAGTATAGCCAACTCTCCTAGACTCCTCTCCCCATCAGACTGGCCTCCCAGGGGATCCTGCCCACAAGTTCCCCAAGGGAGTCAAAGTCTCCTTTTCGAAGTCCAGGGTCCATACTCTGCTTTCTTTCCTTCCTTTCCTCAGGATCCTGAACTCTATCATCTTGTGGTCATGGCTGCCCAAGTTGCCATACACTACAGCCCAAAGAACAAGGCAGGTTCCCAGGTTCACAGTGAATCCTGAGGCAGGGCCCAAGTCAGGAAGGGACATGAGGCAGCTTCCAGACTCACTGCAAGTCCCAAATGCATTAAGGAGCCAGATGTAAGGCTCCAGGTGGGTGGGACCCTACTGGGGAGCTGTGTGTGAAGCTCCTGGGTCAAAGGGATAAGGGGATTAAGGCCCAGCGTCAGACAGGGGATGAGCTTGGGGATATTGAGATGCCCAGTGTGGGGCATATAGGGATTGAGGCCCATAATGGGGTGTGAGGGGACGAAGAGGGTCCCGAATCGGGCACAGGCCCTGGGGAAAAGGTAGTGGCTGGGAGCCCTGAGTGGGTAGGGGCTGGGAACCCTGAGTATATGATTTTAAATACCAGTGTAAGGGCACAAGGATCAAGAGTCCCAGTGTGAGGGCATGGGGACTGCAAGCTCCAATGTGAGGGCACAGGAGTGAAAGTCCAGACATGTGGCACTGGAGTGAGGGTCCCAGTGTGAGGGCATGGGAGTGCGGATCCCAATGTGCAGCACTGGAGAGATATGGATGCCATCTGTGAGGCATGGGACACAGTATAAGCAAGGTTGGAGCCGTGTACATAGGCCACTGGCAACAGGGCAAGTAAATCCTCCCGCCTGGTTATCATCTTCTAATCAGTATCATCAAGGCGTGGCAGAAAAGATAGGCAGGCGGTTAGCCCCAAGATAAGTGGGAGGGCCACTGATTTCACCAGCCCCGGGACATCCACTTGTTACACTCCTATAGGAGTAGACCGATGTAACAGTTAAATCAAAATTGCTCCCAAGCAGCAAGTCTTCCTCTCCTTTCAAAATGGCTTAAAGTTAGGTCAATCCACACAGCCTTTGCATTTTCTGCCCCATCCAGTCCCGGTCTCATGCCAGAAAGCTTGTGGTAAAAGTAAGCTTTTGTATTTTGACCAAAACCAACAAAACTCACTTTGACTGGGAACCATTAACAAGGCCATGATGAAGAAAACACATCCCACAAAGCTTACTTACCCACCACCTGAGGGAGAGTTGAGGCCTCCATATCCAGCATGATAGATCCCTTCTCCATACATGTCCTCAGTTCAAACAAGCTGTGCAAGGACAGTGTAGCAACATGGGGTTTACTCCATCTCTCTCCACCTTCTTCCACTTTTTCTTCAAACTTAATCCACCTAGAAAAAGGCACATCAGCAAAAGTATAGTTAAAATGCTGCCTGCAGCTTAATCCAGGTATTTCTGAAAGAGGCAAAAATATACAAAACATCACATAAGTTAAGATGTTATCCCACCACTCCAAACTAAGACAAAGGGAATAAAAAACAGCAACTGTTATACTGATACTGCTTGGCATTTAAACAGGACAAAAGTTTCACAGTGAGACCAAACAAACCCATAGCTGGCCACCAAAGAGAAAATGATTCAGTTTCAGTGAGGTCAAGCTCCAAGTGTTCCCTGTGTATAATGGAAGGTCAGAACCTCAGGAAACCTGTTCTAGTGCATTTAGGTGTCAAGCCTTAAAAACCTACATCTGAAAATTTTGGCCACAGTTAAAAAAAATCAGGTAAATCTGAGTTCAGTAAAAATGTAAGGTAATTAAAGGTAACACATGAAAGAAAAATAAGCAATTGGATCTTAAGTCATGCATGCATTTTCATTTTTCTTACAACTGCTCAAACTTTTGATAGAAACAGGAGAATAGCCAGATAGAAGAAAACATCATCTTACACAGAACTCATCATCCACTGACCTGGAAGCATTACAAGCAAGACAAGTATCCTTATCCCTACTTTATCCTTAGGGAAACCAAAACACAAAGAAGTAATATAAATTGCTTAAAGTTTCCTAGTAGGCCTCCACAATAGAGCAGGGGCTAGGATCTGTGAAGAAATCTCCCTCTCTCTGCCCCTCCTTTCAGTCAGCCCAAAAGTACCCCTCTTTCTTTCCCTTGCTTGCTATTTGGTTCAGGCTGGTTGACCAGGTGACCTAGCCAGATAAATTCCTGAGGGGAGTGGGGAGCTCACTCTTCCTCTAGCGGGCATTTTGAAAAGCCACAAGCAAAGTACCTCCAGGCTGCTGCCTGAATGAATACCTGTAAGTAAAAACTTGGAAATTAGCCAGGAGTTGGGATTTATGTCTAGGCAAACATGTTTTAAAAGGACTATTATGTCCAAAACTATGTAAGACCCTGATTAATTACATTTGCTCAAAGTGTATTCTGACTCCTTTGTTCTATTCCCTCCCCTCTCCGATCAATAAAGGTATTGGGTTATTGTGTGCCTGGCTGTGAATTCCTGAGAGGAGAGGCCGGCCTTTTTTTGCTCCCTTTGCTGGGCCAGCTAAGTTGGGCTTAGCATTCAGCACCTCTGGTGCTGAATGCTATCTTTGGATGCTTCAGGCTGAAAGAAGCCCTCTGAGATATTACTGTGGGCAAAGCACCCCAAGGTTTGAAGGGACTGTGTGCCCTGGGCTGCATAGGGCCCTACTAGAGACCAGTGCCCAGGTGGTGGCAGCGTTACTGCAGGCTTGTGGGTGTTCTCTAGGAAGGGGGACAGACAGCCGTAGGCTCCCCAGGGGAGACTCCCAAAGCATGGTTTGGGCCTGGCACAGTGAGGCGGGGGGCTCTGTGTGGTAGCGCCCCTTACTGTGCCACCACAGGATCCAGCTCTCTTCAATTCCATTCTGAATTCTGTTCATTAAGCTAAGGCCCACAGAGCCTCCGCTTTCCATTCCCCACGGTTCAGAACTGCCTCACAAAGGACAATTTATTTTTAATTTTTCCAGGAAGGAAAAAAAAAGAGGGCCTGGAATTCTTTAAAATCAAAACAAATCTTAAATGAAAAAAAATATTTTAAATGAAAAAAAATAATAAAAACCCCACAAAATGAACATGGAAAAGATGGGTTTGTATTTTTCTATATTCTGCATCCAGGCATCTAATAGTTCAGTTAAGTTTGCTTGGAAAGAAATCTGAAGACTCATCTCTCTAGTTGAATATTAGAGCAAAGGTTAAATACCATTCTGTGTAAAACATTCTTTACACAACAGAAACCATATCCTACAACACTGAAGTATCAGGTTTAAACCTACGGAATTTCCCTTACCACATTCCCAAAGGTCACAGAGATTCTACAAGACACTTTTAGCCCTCAGCAACACCCGAGTGCACACTGTTGCCTTCAATGGGTTTGGAGAGGTGTGACTGAATGGAACAATTCTGTTCCTGTACAAGGAGGAAGACATTTCAGTGGTCTCTTCCGGATCTATACTTACCCTAATGTGCTAGCAAAAGAAGACATGACCCATACAGAAAGATGGAGCAGATGACTTCCTCTTAACTTCAGCAACAAAAGGAAGGTCAGGGAAAGTATGGGTTCCTTACTAAATGGGAGAGACAACCTAGTGAGAGATAATGCGTAAAAGGATGAGGTGAATGCCTTTTTCATCTCAGTCTTCCCAGGCAAGGTCAGCTCCCAGACTACTGCACAGGGCAGCACAGTTTGGGGAGGAGGTGAGTAGCTACAGTGACAGAGGTGAGTAGCTACAGTGATGGACAAACAAGTTAGGAACTATTCAGAAAAGAAGGACATGCACAAGTCCATAGCACCGGATGGGATGCACCCGAGGTTGCTGAGAGAGTTGGCCAATGTGATTGCAGAACCACTAGCCATTATCTTTGAAAACTCATGGCAATTGGGAGAGGTCCTGGATGATTGGAAAAGGGAAAATATAGTGCCCATCTTTAAGAAAGGGAAGAAGGATCCAGGGAACTACAAACCAGTCAGCCTCCACTCAGACCCTGAAAAAATTAGGAAACGTCCTCAGGAACATGCATTTCTAAGCACCTGGAAGAGAAGGTAGTTAGGAACAGATAGCATGGATTCATCAGGCACATCCAGACAAGCATGGTAATGCAGTATGTGGTGCAGCAAATATGTTTGCAGTGCCACATACCACACAGTCCAGTGTTCTCCGTGCTGCAAGGGCACGCTGCCTGCAGGTTTATTTTCCTCAGGTTTTCTTGACCCCTGGATATCCAGGGGTCAAAAAACTGGAAAAAAAAATCTGGTACAACACGTGTTCAGCCAGTGTGCACTGCTGAAAAGCAGAGCTGGGCTGCCTGGAGCCATGCTGTGGCTGCCAGCCAGGCTCCGCACAACAGAATCGCCGAAGCTGCAGCCCCGGGAGGTCCCCAGTACCTCAGGTATGGCTGCTAGGGTCAGCACAGTGCTGTCCCCAACCTCCCCTACCCCACCCGGGGCAACTTGCTGTGTACCAAAGTGCACAGGGCACAGGCATTCCCCAGGGACAGGTGGCAGCAGCGTAAGGTGCACCGCCACTACTTGTCCCTGGGGAACCAAATATCCATGCATGTCTGGACGCACCCACCAAGGGCAAGTCATGCCTGATCAACCTGGCTGAATCATAAAATCATAGAAAGTTAGGGTTGGAAGGGACCTCATGAGGTCATCTAGTTCAGTGGTTCCCAGAAGCTCAGCTGTGACCCCAGAAGCTTCTCACTCGGGCAGACAGACAGGGATCCGAGCACGGTGCTTGTGCCATGACCCAGCAGCCAACCTACCATGGCCCTGTACCGGGCCATGGTCCCTTGGTTGGGAACTGTGCGGGCCGGGAGCGACCCAGGCCCTTTTCCGTGCTGCACGCGGGCTGTGGCCAGCAGCCCGGGCACGCTGGATCGGAGAGGGAGGGCGATGAGCTGGAATTAGGCACAGACGCTTAACGGTAGATTTTAAAGATTGTTTACTTACACCAGAGATGGTAGTGGTGTAGGCTGGAAAGCTTGCTTGAGTTGCGGTTACAGACACAGACAACACAGACGGTCGCGTGGAGGTTGCTAGGCTCCACGGAACAGAGCTCCGGATGCTCTGGGTGAGCGCGCCACCAAAATTGGACTCGTAGATACGTCTTATAAATTCTTTCCGCTCGAAGACGGGAAGAGGTGGGCGATGGATCAGGTCGCCAAACTCCTCTGAATCTCACACAGGGTCTCTATTACCCTGCCGTGTATCCAGAGTCCCCACGAGATGGATGTGGAGTCAGGAACTCTTTTGCACCGTGCATTTCTCTTGCAACTTGAGCAATGCACTCTGCAAAAGAAGCTGCAAACAGGCGGGAAACTCGTCCCTGCACCGGGGTTCTCCTCTGCAATAGGAAACTCTCCCGTGCAATGAAGTTGCAACCTGGCGGGGATAGTTCTGGTGCTGAAGCACACACAAAATCATGCCTTTGGGTCATGACAGGAACCTCTGATCTAGTTCAGTCCTCTGCTCAAAGCAGGACCAGCCCCAACCAGATCATCAAAAGCCAAACTAGATCATCCCAGCCAATTGCCTTCTCAGATGAGATGCCTGGCTCTGTGGATGTAGGGAGAGCAGTGGATGCAATATACCTTGACTTTAGCAAGACTTTTGATAACATCTCGAACGAAATTCTCTAAGGCAAGCTAAGGAACTATGAGCTGGGTGAAGAGACTATATGGTGAATAGAAACCTGGCTTGATCATCAGGCTGAGAGGGTAGTAATCAATTACTTGAAGTCTAGTTGGCAGCCTGTATAAAGTAAAGTGCCCCAGCGGTCAGTCTGGAGGCTGGTTTTGTTCTATATCTTCATCAGTGGCTTGAAAGATGGGATGGAGTGCACCCGCCACAAGTCTGCAGGTGATACCAAGCTGTGGGGAACTGTATATACACTGAAGGGCAGATAGGATTCAGAGAAATCTCGCCCCCTGCCCCCAACAACCCCTAGCCCCCAGCAGCCCCTTGCAGACTGGGACTCTTCCAGCCTGCAAGGAGAAACCTGAAGTTTCCTGCATTTTTTCCTTTAAAAGAGAAAATCCACGTTTTTCCACACCAAATGTAAAACCCAGATCTCTGGTTATAAGCATCTGAAACCTATGGATTCCTTTGAAAATCTGAGCTAGCCATATTTACTGTATGTTTCCTGCATGAATTTGCAAATTACAAAGACTTCAACATTTTGGTTGAAAGCATACAATTCACCTTAAGCACTTTCCCTTGTTTGATCTACATTTGGTATTTCTTTGGAAGTTAGATGCTTAGGTATTTTTGCTAGTAGACACCTCAATACCTTTAAAATTCAAGCCTTCAAATGCTTCATTTCTGAAGTTCCCTCTGAACTCTGGAATGCACACTAT